CCGGGTCCCCCCAGGCGCTGGCGCGGGAGAGGGACAGGGAAGAGAAGAGAGAGAGAAGAGAAGAGAAGAGAAAAAAAAAGAAAAAAAAAAAAGGGGAGGGGGGGCGCCTCATGCCCCAGTGCCCCCCAAGTCCACCCGTCGGCCGTCACCAGCCTCCTCCCCGGACCCCCAATGGGCCGGCGACCCCCGTCCCCGGTCCGCCATGAAAGTGATCCAGGGGGTCCACAGTCGGGTGCAGCGTTCCTGTGTTCCCCGGAGCTCTGCCGTGAGGGTCTCCATCTTGTATATCTCGTCTATCTTATCTAGCCATTGTGATAGCGTGGGGACATCGGTCGACTTCCATCTGGCAGGGATCAGGCTCTTGGCGGCGTTGAGGAAGTGCCGAATTAGAGATTTTTTGTAGCGTGATATTGGCATTTGCGTATGGTTGAGTAACATGGGCAAGGGCTCCATGGGAATGTCTTCTTCAAGGATTTCCAAGAGTTTGTCATGTACCTGTTGCCAGTAACCTGTGATCCGGGGGCATGCCCACCAGACATGCAGGTCTGTACCTTCAGCGGCTCTACATCGCCAGCATGAGTCGTCAGTTGCTAGTCCCATGGACCGCAGTTTGGACGGAGTCCTGTACCAGCAGGTCAGGACTTTGTAGTTAAGTTCTCTCATTTTGGTACTTAGGATCCCCTGGTGCGTGAGAATGTGAACCTTCTCCCATTGCTGGTCCGTCAGGGCGACCCCTGTTGCTTGTTCCCACCTGGCGTGGAAGTGTGCTGGCGCTCCCTGGTCAGCAGCCAGGAGCATTGCGTAGAGCATCGATATCCCGCGGGTCAGGTGTTCTTCACTGGAGCAGTAAGTCTCAAATTGCGTGGGGTCTCTGTGCAGTAACTGTCTCCCTTGGAGGGTGGCGTAGTAATGCTTAACTTGTTGGTAACGGAAGTGAAGCAGGCCCGTGGGTCTGGATTGTGCTGTCAGAGCGGTGTAGGTTTTCATCCCTGTCCTGGTACACCACTCCCGGAGGAGCCGGGCCCCCCCCTCCCCAATGCCGGTCACGTCTTGCGTTCGCAGCCCATCAGCCAGGTCGGGGTTGTATACAACCGGTGTTAAGGGTGCGGGGAAGGTCGTGAGCTGCAATTTATAGCGGATGTTCGACCATATCCTCAGCGTCGCCCCAATGAAGGGGTGGCGACTGAGTTCCTGGTCTCGCATCGGAACCCGCGTCCAGACCACCGGCGGGATCCGTCCCCGCGCCCATGTCCGCTCCAGCTGAACCCACTGTTTGTCCGTGGCTGACACATGCCAATCGATGATGCGGGAGAGGTGGGAGGCCTGGTAGTATCCCTTGATATGTGGCAATCCTGTGCCTCCACGGTGCTTCGGGAGGATGAGCTGCGCCCTCCTCACCCTCGGTGGGCCCGTCGACCATATGAATTTCAGAATCGCGGAGTCCAGGGATCGGAAGAAGGCCTGCGGCAGAGCTATTGGGACGGTCTGGAACAGGTACAGCAGGCGTGGCAGCAGGTTCATCTTCACTGCGTTTATCCGACCAAACCAAGACACGCAGAGCTTCCCCCAGCGCATCAGGTCCGCTTGGAGTGTGCGGAGGATGGGGAGGAAGTTTTCCTGGTAGAGCTGGGTTAGGTCCCTCGTCAACCAGATCCCTAGGTATTTTAGTCGGCGCGGGCACCACCGGAAGGGGAAGCGAGCCTGCAAGAGTTCCCCCAGCTGACGTGTCAGAGATATAGGAAGAGCTTCCGACTTCGTCGCGTTGAGTTTCAAGTTGGAGAGGGCTCCGAACGCTTCGAATGCCAAGAGTAGATTAGGGATCGTGACCAGTGGGCTTCCCATGAAGAATAGGAGGTCATCCGCATAGGCCGCCACCTTATGTTCCCGGCCGCCTTGGGTGAGCCCCGTTATTCCCCCATCCCGTCTGACCGCCTCCAGAAAAGGTTCCAGAGAGAGGGCAAACAGAAGGGGGGACAGGGGGCATCCCTGCCGGGTCCCGTTTTTTATCTCAAATGTCGGGGAGAGGACTCCGTTGATCCGAAGCTGGGCCGTCGGGGTCGTGTAGAGCGCTGCAATCCAGCGCAGGATGTTAGGGCCGAAGCCCATCTTCCGGAGCGTGGCTTGAAGGAAGTGCCAGTCCACCCTGTCAAAGGCCTTCTCAGCGTCGGTAGAGAGGAGAAGGCTACCCCGCTCAGAGCGCTGTTGTGTGTGCAGGATGTTGAGAGCCCTGACCGTGTTGTCCCTAGCTTCTCTCCCCGGGATGAAGCCAGTTTGATCCGGGTGAACCAGCGTAGAGATCAGGCGGCCTATGCGGTTCGCTAGGACCTTCGTAAAAAGTTTTAGATCAGAGTTGAGTAGTGAGATCGGTCTATAGCTGGAGCATTCGGCTGGGTCCTTGCCTTCCTTGGGAATAACCGTTATGGTTGCCAGGAGGGTGTCCCCCTGAAACCGTCCTTCTTCCAGTAGCGAATTCAGGCCCGACAATAGTTCCGGTAGTAGGATCTCTCCGAATGCCTTAAGGTAGCGTGGGGGGAGCCCATCAGGTCCCGGGGCCTTATCGAGGGGGGTGTTTTTTAGGGCCCCCTGTAGCTCCTCAAGCGTAATGGGGGATTCGAGTTCCTCCCTTTGTTCGCGTGTGAGAATCCGGGTGACATGTTGGTCTAAGTAGGCTTGAGTCTTCGTTTGTCTCCTGTGCGTCTCCTCGGTTGTCCTGTCCGGTGCAATGTTGTAGAGTTTGGCATAGTAATCTCGGAATTCCCCGACTATCTTGTCAGGTACTTGTGTAATGAGACCGTTATGCGACCTGATTTTAGTTATATGGCTCTGGCGGCGTTTCTGCTGCAACATTCTGGCGAGCAGTCGGCCACACTTATTGGAGAACTCGTAGAAGTGGCGATTGGATTTCCGCAGTGAGTGTGAGAGTTGTTTAGACAGTTGGTGTTGTAGTGCCCGTCGTGCGTCTAATAGAGCCCTGTATACTTCCTCCGAGTCTGTAGCTTTGTGGTCTTGGTCTAACTGGGCGACCCGCGCATGGAGGTCCGTTAGGAGCCTGCGCGACTCCTTCTTTCGCGCTGTGCCAACCTTGATGAAATGTCCCCGGATTACGCACTTGTGTGCTTCCCAGCGGGTCAGGTGTGACGTCTCTGTGGCATCATTTTCATTGAAATATTGGCGGAGAACCGTCTTGGCATCCGCCAGGGTGACTGCATCTGCTAGCAGTTGGTCATTTAGCTTCCATTGCCGGCGTGTGGGCTTGTGCAGGGGGGACGCCATGACGGCCAGAACCGGGGAGTGATCAGACCATGTGGCCGGAAGGATCTCACATGAGTGCAACAGGTGGAGGTACTCTTGAGAGACAAAAATGTAGTCTAGTCTGCTGTGTCCCCGGTGTACTGGGGAATAGTAGGAATAATCTCTCGTGTCTGGGTGAAGGACCCTCCAGCCGTCCGCGAGCCCTGCTGTTCGAAGTGCCGTCTGGGAGACCCGAAGGCAGGTTGCCGACAGTGAGCTGCCCCCCCTCGAGGTGTCCATGCGGGGGTCCATGGGGATGTTAAGGTCACCCGCGAGGATCAGGAGCCCCTCCCTGAAACCCTCAAGCAGCCGTGCTATTTTCGTGAGGAAGCGATGTTGTTTGGTATTAGGTGCATACACAGAGGCGAAGGTGTATCGCCGGTCTGCTATCGTGCCTTTAATAAATAGGTAGCGTCCGTTCGGGTCGGCCAGTTCCTCCAGGCAGTTGAAGGGCACGGTGCTGGCGAAGAGGATAGCCACTCCTGCTTTCTTGGCGTCTCCGTGGTTGGCGAAGAACCCCGTGGGGAACCTCCGATCCCGGAGGGCCGGAGCCTCTTTCCCCTGAAAATGGGTCTCCTGGAGGAATGCGACCGATGCCCGAGCCGCCCACAGGGCTCTCAGCAGATGTGACCTCCGTTCCGGCGTATTTAGACCCCTGACATTGTTGGACCAAAGACGAAGGGGCGCCTGGGCGAACCCCCCAGTTCCCTGGGCGGACATGGAGGCCAGAGCGGCGTCCCGGGGGCCGAGGGGGGAAGCGCGGGCAAGGGCGGGGACCCGGTGGGGGGAGGGGGAGGGGCGCCGGGGGAAACCCGGATGTGTTCGCCTAACGCAGAAGGCCAACGTATGGGGCGGTGTCCTCTGGTCGCGGGCGCGCGGCGGGGCAGTAGCCCCTGTGGTCAAAGGGTTGTGAGCGAAACTAGTTAAACAAACACAACAATGAAACTATGTACAAAAGCAGACTTGACTGTCTAGTTGGGTGAATCCGGTCTGGGTGTTCCGTCCCTTAAATTAACCACCCACCTGGTCCCCCGTCCTAGTGTGTGTTACAGTCTGTCTATGGGTGCGTGTGTGGCCCAGAGCGGGCAGGAGTGGAGGATGGGTGTGTCCCTAAATAAGAGCTACTGGTCCTGTCTCAATATAGGTCCCCCGTGTCCTCTCCCCTGGCCCTCGTCGATTGTCTACAGCCATTCTGTGCTAAGGTGCGGTCCGGGTGAGAGGTACATAGGTCTAGTTCCCATTTCGTCTGGGCCTCCCCCTACGCAGTTAAACCTAGGGGCAATGTCAAGCGTGTGTGGTCATCTCGAGCCCGTCCCCCCAAGCCCTCTCCGTGCCGGGGCCCACCCCCCCGGGCCGGGACCCCCCCCCCTGCCGTGTACCCCCCCAGCCCCCACTCCACCAGACCCCCCACCCCTTTCCCAGAGTCCCCCCAGGAGCTGTCCAAATAAAGAGCGTGCAGAGTCTCCCCATGCGACCCCATTCCCCTCCCCCCCCCCAGCAGCCCCCAAGGCCCACCTCATACCCCGGGCAGGAGCTAACACTTCCGGTCCCTATTCTAACCCGGGGAGAAACACCAGGGGGCATGTGCCACTTGGAAGAGGAAAGAAAAAAAAAAAAAAAGAGGATGCACGGTGAGTGTGGCAACAGATGGCAGTATGTTGCCCCGGCCGGGGAGAGGAGAGTCGGTGGCGGCCGGATCAGTGTCCGCAAATGTCTCAGAGACAGCTTCGTCCTCCCTCCCCACCTAGGCTACCTAATCCCGCTATGGGCAGCCTCACCCCCCTACCCAGGACCCACCAAGTACCTCGTGGTCCGGCTGATTCCGGGCCACACGGGCTCCTGCGCTCCATTACTCCTCAGCTCCGCTCGGGCCACCCCACATCCGGGGTGACCGGGCTTCTTCTCTCCGTGTCGGCGGCGGGCGGTCCTCCGCGTCCGGGTCCCGTCGGGGTGCCAGAGGGGTATCCAAAAGCCAGTTGCGGACCCGGATGTTCGGGAGTTTGAGGGTCCGCAGTGCCCGCGGGATGTCGCCGGGCCAGCGCACCTGGAGCCACGTGGAGCCGTGCCGAATTTGCAGGCTGAAGGGGAATCCCCAACGGTAAGGGATCCCCTTGTCTCGCAGGGTGGTCGTGAGGGGCCGGAGGGCGCGTCTGGCATCTAACGTGAGGCCGGAGAGGTCCTGGTAGAGGGACACCTCCGAGCCCCTGAACTGCAGGCTCGTCATGCCCCGGGTCGCCGCCATCAGCTTCTCCTTGGTGCTGTAAGTGTGTAGGCAGCAAAGTACATCACGGGGCCTGCCATCCTGGCGTTGGGGCCCTAGCGCCCTGTGGACGCGGTCAAACTGGATTTCTTTGGGGCCCTCCTGGCCCAGGATCTGTCGGAAGAGGGCCCTCAGGGTGTCTGGCAGTGGGGTGGTGTCCGGCTCCGGTAGGCCCCGGATCCGAATGTTCTGCCGCCGGCTCCTGTTCTCCAGGTCTTCCACCTGGCGTCGCAGGGAGAGCAGCATGTTCCCCTGTCGTGTGGTGGCCAGTTCTGCGGCCCGGTGCTGTGTGCGGCAAGCCTGCGCCTCGGTCTCCAAGGCCTCCACCCTCACTTCAACCGCCGACAAGTCCGTCCGCAGTGCAGTGATCTCCTCCCGGATCGCCGTCTTGAGTTCTTGCAGGAGACCGCCAGAGTCCGCCTTGGTAAGCATGTGGGTGGAGATCATGGCCAGCTCCTGTTTGATCTGGGCCAGCGTGTCATCTGGGATGGAGTCGCCCATGCTGTCCTGGCTCGGGGATCCGGGCGCCATTTTGTCTGGCGGCCCGAAGCTGCCCGGTGTGCTCTGGGTGCTAACGTAGTCGTCCATAGTGCCTGTGTGGCGGCGTGGGGAGCCCCCCAGAGCTTGTGTCCTCTTATTTCGGACCATGTTGGGCCGTTTAGAGCGCTTAATTATTGCTGTTTTATGGCCAGGGGATGAGGAGCTCGGGCTCTACACGTCCTGTCGCATGCTCGGCTCAGCCACGCCCCCAGAAGCACATTATCTAAAGAGCTTGTGACAGACCTTGAGCAACTGATATCAGGCAGAAAAGATTCTTTCTTTCTAAATAAAAACTAAATAGCTCTATGTTTGTACTGAATAGCATATTGAATATATAAACACATGGTTTATTCACTAGATTATCTACCAAACTGACCAAAAAAATTATCCAATTTAGCTATAGTCACAGCTCGGCTAACTGGTCTAAATTTCGCAGCTCAGTTTTCAGTTCATGCAAGGTCACTGTTTTTGTGAATAAGCCCCAAGCATCTCCTTAAAGGTTGCTCATTGCCAGTGTGGTGGTAACAGCTTACGGCTAGGAGTGGAGAGCGGGTCATATTTACTTTAAATACACTACAGGTATACTCAGAACTGCCGAATCTGATCACAGCCAAGAAATATGTATTCTTTTATAAGTATCTTAAATAAAAAATAGCAATGTAGTCACCGTGCATGCAGTGTGAATTTTTGCTGCAAATTTCAATTTAGCTTCAGTCATAGTCCTTTGACTAAAAAGCTAATTTAGTTTTAGTCGTATTTTAGTCATCTGAAATGTTTTAGTCTATTTTTAGTGTTATGTGTTGCTTCTGAATGAGCATCACTCGGTGCCGGTTTAACTGTGCCATGCTTTGGTTCGCCCTCACACACGAGCAGGACGCAAGCCATGGCATCATCTGTTATTGGTGATATTGCAGTCCTGCGGTGGGAACGGACAAGGACATTATGCTTCTTCCATTTGTTGCGGCAACCAAGAGTTACCAACTTTCCACAAGAACTTAGTTCCATCAAGTTGAAGAGAGGATGCTCCCAGAACGCTTTAAAATGTAATTTATATTCGTACAAAAAAAAAAAAAAAACACATTTCCCTTAAAGGGATAGCGGCACAAAAAGAAAAGAAAGCACAAAAGAAAAACCGAAGATATTTTGTGCAAATCCAGGGCCGTCACCAGAAATTTTGGGGCCCCAAACTCAGCTCGGGGTCTGGGCCCTCTGGGGCCCACCTCCAAATACCGCCCACTGGATCCGCCTCCAAATTCCGCCCACAGGAATAAACACACACAGACACAAACACACACACTGATACAAAAGGACACAGATACATACTAACAGACACACATACTGAAACAGACATACACGCATACAGGCATACATACTGACACACATATACTGAGACATACACACAGGCATACATAGTGACAGACAGACACATACTAACATACATACAGACACACATGCATGAGGACATAAAGACACATACACACACACATACATTCATACATACAGACACTGACATCCATACACACATACATTCATAATGGCATACATACATACACAGACATACATTCATAATGGCATACATACATACATTCAGACTGACATACATGCATATATACAGACATACTGACAGACATACATGCATACAGACATCCATACACACATACACACAGTCATACGTTCATAATGATATGCAGACATACATTCATACTGACATACAGACATACATATATACAGACATACATATATACATACATACATAGACATACATACATGCATACAGACATACAGCCATAGACATACATGCATGCATACAGACATACATACACAGACATACAGTCAGACAGAAAAACAGACATACATACAGAAATACATAGACATGCATGCACACAGACAGACATACATAGACATACATGCATACAGACAGACATACATAGACATACATACATATATACAGACAGACAGACATACATGCATACAGACAGACATACTGTCAGGGATCCGCGGGCGGCTAGGAGGGGAGGCTGCACGCCGCTTGCAGCACTCACCCTCACTCCTTCGCCGCCCGCGGTCTCCCCTCTGCTTACCTCTCGGCGAGCGGCGTCTCCTCTCTGCCGCTCGCCGCCCGCGTCCTCCACGCCCCCCAGCGGCAGCATGTATAACGCTGCACGCTGGGAGGTCAATGAATTATGTAAACGCCGGGGTCACGTGAGTGACCCGGCGTTAAAGAAACAGTACCACAATCACAGTGGGGGGTATAGATATCCCCCATGTGTGATTGTTAATTCTGATTGGAAGTTATCCAATCAGAATTAAACCAAGGGTATTTATACTTACCTTTCCTGTCCCTCAGTGCCCTGTTGTGGTCTTGTGATACCTGTAGCGTAGTGTTCTCGTCTTGCTCTCTGGTTACCGATTACTTGGCTCGTTATTCCGATTATTCTGTCTTCTCCACTCCTTTGACCTCGGCTTGTTTCTCGTTCTCCTGTTTTCTGGCTCCCTTTACCTGGCTTGTCTCCTGACTATTCTTAGCGTGCTTAGCCCGGCCACTCTAAGGTCCGGTACGGCACCTTTTCTGTGTGTGTGTGTGTGTGCCAGCGTGTTGGGTTCCTCGAATCGTGACACATACATGCATACAGACAGACATACACACATGCATACATACAGACATGCATACACATACATACAGACAGACAGACATACATGCATACAGATAGACAGACATACATACATGCATACATACAGACAGACATACACACAGACAGACATACATAGACATATATGCATACAGACCGACAGACATACATAGACATACATATATACAGACAGACATACATACACAGACAGACACACATGCATACAGACATGCAGACAGACATACATGCATACAGACATGCAGACAGACAGACATACATGCATACAGATAGACAGACAGACAGACATACATACAGACATGCATACAGATAGACAGACATACACATACATACATACATACAGACAGACATACATAGACATACATACATGCATACAGACAGACAGACATACATGCATACAGACAGACATACACGCATACAGACAGACATACATACATACAGACAGACATACACATACATACATACAGACATACATAGACATACAGATAGACAGACAGACATTCAGACAGACATACACATACATACAGACAGACATACATACATACATGCATACATACACACACACACACAGCTCATTTTCCAGCCACCCCCCTGTCTCTTACCTTTTCTTTGCAGGAGGGTGGCTGTTGGCACGGCTCACTCTTCGCTGCCTGGCTCTCCCTCTTCACCGGCGCGCGTGCACTCCTCCCGCGCGGAGTGAGCTGGGAGGAAGTGACCACTTCCTCCCAGCAGCACTTGCGGCTGCTTTTTTTTTTTTTAAGGGGCCCGGTCGCGTTATACCATGGCCACAGCGCTGACCAGGCCCCTGAAGATATAGGGCCTAAGTGTGTGGGCCACCCGATGAGCCCCACACGTGGGGCCCGGGCAGCCGGGCCCCCCAGGGCCGCCGGGCCCATGACAACCATTAAGGTTGTCACCCCCTGATGGCGGCCCTGTGCAGGAGTCAGGATAGGCATACCTCGCACCGAGTTACATACTCGATGCATGCCTTGGCATCTGGTTCGGCATGCCCCTTCTTTTTCTCGCCAACTGCAGCTTTGCTGTCACCTTGCTCTAAGTACGTCACCAAAAAAAATCACTGCTAGAGTATGTGGTGTATGTTTACCGGATGCTCATTATATCGACTTACTCATCTGGTGAGCCAATGTTGTGAACTCACTGCCATGGCAAGCATGGAAAAAAACCTGTTGATCGTAAATAGTGTATCACTTGTGTTTGGACTGATGGATGGACACCCATTTGCATTGGATATAGGCTGTTTTCTTGCCAATGGTCCTCTTGCACCAGCTGTGAAGCTGGCGACAGTGATTATTAAAGGGAAACTATAGAGAGAAACATTTTCTTATTTTTATTTAATAGTTTCCTGACATCATTGTCACCTCCTCCCCTCCCAAATTTCAAAGATAATAACCATTTTCTTACAGAAATAAAGCAATAAAGATAATAAAGGAGCAGGTCCAAAAGGAACCCTATAAGTAAAGGGACCAGATGATAGCTCCTAAGAGAAGACCACTTGTTATTCTCTGTGTGGGAGTAACCCACTAGTTAGGCGGTAAACAAAATGAGAGTAAGCGGAATAAAGGTCCAATCAGAGAATAACGTGTTAAAAAAGTTAATAAACCTAAAGGAAATAGTATATAGAATAAACCAATAAAGGCTAAAGAACACTCTAAATGTCTATATTAGAGACATATAGTAGAAGGCATATAGGCACAGAAAAAAACTGTATATAAAATCAGCTAAAAAGCTGAAAATGCCAAGCTGCCTATCCAAAGGAACCAGGATATACAGAGGTAAAAGGAGAGGAGGAGGGAGAAATTGATTAAATTATTTAGAAGAAGAACCCCTCTTGAAATCCCCCAAAACCCAATGCTAAAATAAAGCAAGGTTGTCCCTATTATACCTCGGCACCGTGGATAAACCACTAGTGCCTACCTGAACCTCTGTCCCTTCCTCAGCTAGAATAAACAAAACACACTTAAATTAACTAAAACTAGTGCATAGTGCTACCAATAAAGGTGAACAAAATAAACAAATAGTGTTTATTCTAGTTGAGGAAGGGACAGAGGTTCAGGTAGGTTTTGCTTACCTTTAGACCCTCGCCCTGCTGGTCTCTCCATGGATGCTTCCCTTCTCTGGCAAGATTGATGATCTAAGCCAATCCAATGCTTCCCCATGCGGGAAGCATGCACGGCAAAACACTATGGCAATCAAATGCCGCTCTAGTAACAGTATTTGATTGAGAACCAAGTCTGACTCCGTCATGGGAAGTCCCTCTGGAGGCTGCAAGGAAGACAGCCACTAGAGCTGTGTTTAACCCTGTAATGGAAACCTTGCAGTTTCTTCAAAATTTAAAGGGACACTATAGGCACCCACACCACTTCATCTTATTGAAGTGGTTTGGGTACACTGTCCCCGTCCACTTAATCCTGCAAGTGAAAACATTTCAGTTTTAGAGAAACTTCAATGTTTACATTGCAGGGTTAAGACTCTCTACGAGACAGCCACTAGATACAGTTTCTGCTTTCTCACAGAGTTTCATTCTGTGAAACGATGCTGG